CCCCGGTTTGCCAGGGGTCCCTCATTTTTTTGGGGGGGGTTCTACCCACCCCCAACACCCACAGCCACCCCTCTCCCTTCTCTCCCCCTCTTGAGAGAGAGGGGTGGCTGCCTTTAAGTTCATGGAACCCGCGTTTCCTCCCAAGCCCAATCTCCGCTTGAGATCAGGCTTGCAGGGAAATGCCAGCTCCGTGCACTTAAAAGTGAAACGCCGGCTCTTTGCTCTTAAAGGGGAAACGCCGGCTCAGTGTACTTAAAAGGGAAATGCCGGCACCTTTAAGTGCAGGAAACTGGCGTTTCTGGAGATCGGGCATGCGGGGGGGGGCAGTGGACATCCCCAATGTGACGTCATCACGTTGGTGATGCCCCGCCCCCTCCAGGAACGCCCCCAAAGTCCCCCACTGGGGGCGGAAGATGGACTTGGCAACCCTAAGGTAGCAAGTGATCTGAAATATCTCTGGGAGCCTGGAAAGCTACTTTCAGACAGAGTAGTCAGTATTATTGACCAGGATAGGCCAATAGTCTGACTCAGTAAAAGGCAGCTTCATGTATTCAAATTCCAAATATCACCAAGAAAATCCATATTTGTGGTAGCAAAAGTGAGTGTTTCACAATACCCAAACTTGGTATCCAAGGTATTAGAAAACTGTCATAACCTGTCAAGGAAAACATTTGTCATCATTAATCACTAATGCCCTGGATATTTCGGGAGTTATTTTCTCTCTCCCTAGAATATACCTCTCTGTGGCGAGGTAAATTGTTCTCCAATAAAAGTCTAGTCTTTGTCTAGACCCACAGACAATTGTCACTGTTCACTTCACTGCTTCCCCTGCATTGGTTTTTCTTTGCAAAAACTCATAAAACTTTTTTTAACCCCAATATATTATGCCAAGTGCCTGTTTTCTTTACAGAAAGGAAACAATAACCCGTGGTACTTTGCGGACATTGTGTGGGTGTCAGCTAGCTGCTGTGTTTTGCTTGTCCCCTTCTCTGATCCTGGCTTGCTCGCTGCTCTGCCGCTTGCTGTAAACGGCGATAGGGAGACCGTGAGAACCAGTGCTGCCAGACGGCGTTATCTGTCTGGCCTTGTGAAGGGGGGATGGTTTGCGTTCCACCGCAGGTGTGAATCTTTCGGCTCTCATGAGGCACTCAGACTCTCCCGCTTATCATGTATCCTCCCGCCGGGAGAATTCCCGTGCGCGCGCTCGGATTTCATTTGCTTAGCCATTTGCCTCATCCTGCTATATGTAGGGATGTTTCTGCCCCTTGGTTATTCCTAACAATAATCCTGTGGATATGGTACCAGTTTTGTAATCTAATAAAGCATAACACTTCCTTGGAAACGTGTGTGGAGATTTACTTGCTGTTGAACCTGACAGAAAAAGCTTTCAGGTCCAAGTTGTATAGCCACTTAGGGGGAAAGGCAAGGCATAAATGAAATAAATATAATAAACGTATAAACAAATATTAAAACAAGCTTCAGGAACAATAATCAACAGTAATAAAAAATACATCAGTATAAGTGTAATATAATACCAACAGCTCAAAGGAGACACTTCTTGACTGGATGCATTAAAACAAGCTTCCGTTCTAAGCTGAAAAGAAAAGCCTTACAGCCCATATGAAAATTTGCAAGAGGGCTAGTTCTTCTAACTGCTGTGAAAGAGAAGTCCAGGGGTCTGGAACCACTACTTAGGGCCAAATTAAACATGATGGCATCCTTGTGGCCACCACGAGGATATCACTGCCCTTTTAAAGTCATTTAAGAAGGCCACAATGGCCTGATTCTGATTGGGCCTACAGTGGGTAGGGTGAGGTGTTCTCATCCCCCTCCCACTCCTTTTCAAGTACTGAAACAGCTGTGGGTGGGTGTGGAAGTTGCAGCACATAAGGCATGAGGGGGGGGGACAGAAGTGGGCCCCATCAGGACTGGGCCCTTGTGGCATTGTTAAATTACTTCAAAATGGCGGGCATGAGGACACTGACACTGTCACATTGAGTTTGGCCTTGAGAGAGCTCTCAATTTAGCCCATTCTGACTGTATTCAGATATAACAATAAACAATATGGGAATGAACCTCAGAAATTCATGGGCTCACGTGTCCCCCACTTGGCCCTATGGGAAATGGTGGGAGGTGGGTACTTATTGCAGGGGGGAAGATCTTTGGCGCTGAGTCACGCCGGAAGTGATGTCATTGTGCAGTGACAAAGATCGCTAGCCCACCCCATTTTGCCAGCCTGCTTCCGCCCATTGACCAGATGAGTGTCAGGAGTTTGCCTGACATTAGCAGGCACCCGGTAAGCCTAGTAATTTGTCAGGAAAGAGAAGTCTTCAATCGCTGAGTGACAGAAAAGGAGGAGAAAGAGGGGAAATCACATGAGCCAGATTTCCAAGGCTCATTTCTGTAACAACAAACTATAGTTTGTTTGTATGTCTGACTAGGAATGCTGGCTAGGACTTAACTTTTAACATACTTTGACTTAATCATACCTCCATTTTGTATTTGTTGCAGTTGCTGGATACATGTACATTTCCAAAAGACATTTAGGATTGGGCTGCCAGTCTCCAGGTGGGGCCTGGAGATCTCCCGCTTTTATAACTGATCTCCAGCTGACAGAAATCAACTCCCCTAGAGAAAATGGCTGCTTTGAAGGCTGAACTCTATGGCCTTGTAACATGTTGAGGCTTCTCCCCTCCCCAAACCCCACCCTCTTCTGGATCCACCCCCAAAGTCTCCAGGTATTTTCCAACCCAGACCTGGCAACCCTAATTTAGGACACTGGAAAAGGGAAAAAAAGTTGTAGACGAAAGGTTTAAAAATAGTAGTATACGCCCTCCTTCTAAAAATAACACATCTATGTTTTTCAGACATTCCAGTTCAGCAAGATGCTTTTCTCTTGACATTTCAGTTTCTCTAAAAGGTGGGCTTTGCTCTGGATTGGGTTTGCTGTTCACCTGTAGCAAAACTGAAAGCAGGAACCTGCTGCAAAGAAAGGAAAGGTCAACTCTAGCAATCCTTCAAAAGAAGGAAGCGGCATTCAACTCGCAGAATCCCAATTGGTAGCAGCCAAGAGATTCTCCTCTTGGCTGCCTCTTTAGTGTCTATTTCTACACCTTCTTCCCTTAGAAGGCCACCTTTTGAAGTGTCCTTTAGTGTATATTTCCAAATTTGGTATTGATTCCCCCCCCCCGCCGCCGCTTCTTTTGAAGTTCTCTTTCTTCTGTTGCATGGCCCAGATATTCCAGGTAATGTGGAAGGTTTGGGGGGTTAAGACCTTAAGAACCAAAATGCATGAGTCAAGGTAGAAAGAAATGCACTGAATGTTGATTAGAACTACATCAAGGAGGGCAGGTTTAAGGTTTTGTTGGTGCCAGGTCTAACCTCTAGACTCCACTTTGAATGTCAAGGCTCAGTCCGTTAACTTTTACATTTGGAAAGGTATCAGTCTCCTACTAGGCAGTACTCAACTGTTGCTAGCACCCTTCTCAGGTGCAACATATACTGTCTGCTGTGTAGTTTGGTGCAGGAAGGAGACAACACGAAGCAGGTTTCTTAAACACAACGTTTTATTCTTCTGTCCTTTTTAGCAGCCACAGCCCAACCTTCTATCTTTCCTCCTCCTCCCTGCTTTCAGTATTGAGGGCTCCAAGTCTACCCAGCAACAGAACATGTCTCTCTAAATGGGACATGTCTCTAAACATCAACAATGAAACAAAGTACAACTATTAAAACTCAACACTATGCTACAGAAGGACAGGGTACACAGGTACCCTGTCCTTCCGTAGCATAGTTTGAGTATCAGGGACCTATCCACCTAAGGGACCGTTGTTCCCCACATGTTCCCCAGAGAGCATTAAGATCGGGCTCCCAAAACCTTTCGGCCCTTCCAGGTCCTAAAGAAGCCAGGGTAGCGGTGACGAGGGCCAGGGCCTTCTCTGTGACGGCCCCATACTGGTGGAATGAGCTCCCGGAGGACATCAGGGCCCTGCAGGACCTGTTACAGTTCCGCAGGGCCTGTAAAACGGAGTTCTTCCGCCAGGCCTTTGACTAGGGTGCCGCCTCTTAATATCACGGCCCTGGGCCTAACATCAGCACCGACTTAATAATCAACAGCCTGGTGGGAGTCCAGACGGTGGCAGAAATGACCGTCTGGAAGCTGAGGTTTACTGGCACTTATAGGATTTTATATGCTGTGATTTCATCTACTGAAATATTGTTTTAACTGCTATGATGTTTTACACACACACACACACACACACACACACATATATTTTCTGTGAGCCGCCCTGAGCCTGCCTTGTTGAAGAGGCCAGGACATGTGAACATAGGGTTGCCAGCCTCCAGGTGGGGCCTGGAGATCTCCTGCTTTTACAACTCCCCTGGAGCTCCCCTGGAGAAAATGGCTGCTTTGAAGGGTGGACTCTATGGCATTGTACCCTGCTGAGGCTCCTCCCCTCCCCAAACCCCACCCTCTCCTGGATCCATCCCCAAAGTCTCCGGGTATTTTCCAACCTAGACCTGGCAACCCTATGTGAGCAATTTTATTAATAGTTCTGGTATAGGGTCTGTTTAGTACAAATGAACTCTAGGGGGAGCTGTAGAATTCAACTTGTTGAGATTTAAACTTGTTGAATTCTTCTCTTGTTTTATCCTGTTTCCTTTTGTACTTCCTCTCTGCCTGAAGGTCTCTCTGCTATTGACAGGCCTACAGTTGGTTATTGTTCCTTGTGATTCTGTTGTTGCAGAATGCAGCTCTACAGGTTGGTATGAAGGCTTGAAATCTTGGTATCTAGGGTAATCTGTGGTCCAAAAGGGCCTACCATATCCCAACAACTGGGATTAGATGGTCTTTCTGTGATTAGATGGTCTTTCTGTGACTCCCAAATCTATGATGTTTTTATTCCCATTCTCAGTGAACAGCAACAAATTCTACCAGGATGAGATAAAATAGATTAAGAAGTTACTTATTCACTCATTCCTTCCTCTTTCCTCTGCTACAGGGCGATATCCCCAACAAAACAAAGGCACGTACATTCAGGTTCCTTTGGTTAGTGAGCTGGAAAGTGGGAAATGGGGAGCTAAGATCACCCAGAACGAGAACAACTCTGTCAGCCTGACCATCTTGTCAGCACCAAACTGCATTGTGGGAAAGTTCCGCATGTATGTCGCTGTCTTGACTCCATACGGCATTCTTCGGACAAAACGAAATCCAGACACAGATACATACATAATTTTCAACCCCTGGTGTGCAGGTAAGGCATATGCAACATGTTGGTTTTACCTAAAGTGACTTTGGTGACAATTTTCAATGGTTTCCTTGTTGCTGCTGCAGTTGCTGGTTAAGTGCAAAAGCCAACAGGGCTTCCCCGTGGTGGGTTTCCCTGCATAAGTCCCAGTCCCTTGGAGGAGCCATTCCCCACTGCATCATAGGGAATTATGCTGGGGTGTCTTTAAAATCTACAGCTGACACACTGCTGTAGGGTTACAGTGTTATACCTCTATGTCAGCTACCAATACCTGCTCCCAAGCCCTCACATGGCACAGGGAGAAAGGCTGCTTCAGGGAACTGTGTGTATTCAGTGCTGTTAAGTCATTTCTGACTTATGGCGACCCTATAAATTAATGACTCTCCAGTGACTCTTCTCCAGATGTGACCAAAGTATGGTAGCATCAGTTTGTTCATTTTAGTTTCTAGGGAGAATTCAGGCTTGATTTGATCCACACTATCCATAAAACTCTCCTCAGACACCACATTTTGAATGAATGAACTTCCTTCCTCTCAGCTTTCTTCATTGTCCAACTTTTACACCCATACAGTTTGGCGTAGTGGTTAAGTGCGTGGACTCTAATCTGGGAGAACCGAGTTTGTTTCCCCACATCTCCACTCGCAGCTGCCGGATGACCTTGGGAAAGCCATAGTTCTGTCAGAGCTGTTCTTGAAAAGAGCAGTTTCTGTCAGAGCTCTCTCAGCCCCACCTACCTCATAGGGTGTCTGTTGTGGGAAGGGGAAGGGAATGGAGTTTTTAAGCCACTCTGAGACTCTGAGTGAAGGGCGGGGTATACATTCAATCTCTTCTCTTCTTCTTCTACATAGTAATGGGGAATACTGCGGTATGAATTATCTTGATCTTGGTCACTAGTAACACGTCCTTACACTTAAGCGGGGGTCCTTTCTTGAGAAAAAGAGATGCAGGAACTCATTAGCATAGCTCATTAGCATAATTTATTTGCATATGCCACACCCCCTGACATCACCGGAAGTGTGTCAGAAGGCAACACCCACCGCTCAGGCTCCACTGGACTGTTTTAGATTCCTAGTCTGCCCGAGGGCTGCTTCACAACCCAAAGATGTCTCAGAGCGGCTTACAATCTCCTTCCCCTTCCCCTCCATACAACAGACACCCTGTGAGGTAGGTGGGGCAGAGAGAGCTCTTGAGAGAACAGCTCTGACAGAACTATGGCTTGTCCAAGGTCATCCAGAAACTGCAAGTGGAGGAGTGGGTAATCAAACCCAGTCCTCCCAGATTAGAGTCTGCGCACTTAACCACTACACCAAACAATACAGGTAGATTCTGGTCAAAATCCCACCATATAGAAGTCAAGTATGCTCTTGCTTCCTTCCTTTCTCTCTGCTTACTTGTAAACAGTGGCATCCAATGATCTCTTTGCATTAGTGTCAGTAAACATGAGTCCATGCATCCAGTCAACATCAGTCCAGAGTAGAGTGGTGGTTGGCCCCCAGGTTCAAATCCCCATTGAGGCAATAAGCACAGGTGATTGCAGCTCAGGGGAAGGGGTCCAGGTCCTGGAAACAGCATGGAGGGGCAGGCTTAGACCCACCCTCATCCAGGCGCTGTGGCTCCAAAGCCAATTTCCTTGTGTGTGTGTGTGTGTGTAAAGTGCCGTCAAGTTGCAGCCAACCTACGGTGACCCCAGCAAGGTCCTTTCGAGGCAAGTAGAGGTGGTTTGCCGTGGCCTTCATCCGCAGGGCCATCCTTGGTGGTCTCCCTTCCAACTGTACTCACCCTGCTTAGCTTCTGAGATCTGATGAGGTCAGGCTACACCATGCCACCTTCCCTCCCAATTGCCCTGTCTCCTAAATAATTACATAAATTACCAGGTGACCCAATCATGGATTCTTTATATCTTATCTAGGTGCACCCTCATCCATGGGATATTGGATCTGAGTGGGTTCCAGTCTCTTTCTTGAGCTAGGCTCCTCCCTAGATGACAGCTCGGCTGTAGCTCATGCGTGTTAGGAGGAGAGCCTGCCACCTGATAGAGGTTCACCACCCGGATTCTTAACAGCTAGAAGATCTGCTTGGCTGTAGTGGGTGTGCCATCTAAGAGGGACCCCATTTCTAGTGAGAGACTGGAATTGCCCCAGCCCACAGTTTGGCTCAGGAGGAAGCAGTTCACCTTCTGGTTCCTGTTTGAGAGCATTTTGCTGCCGTTGCTATTTGCAAGCATGAATCTCAGAGACCAGCAGGGGAATCTTGCCCTTCCTTCATGGCAGAAGCTGTAGAATGGACCCAGGCCCTCCCTGGCGATCAGGAAGCAACCAACCAGCTTTCCTAAAGCTTCCCCGGCCAGTTGCCTGGAGTCAGTTCTTCTTTCCCACAGGCAAGGAAGCGAAATGCTCTTTAAGAGCTTGCCTTACATATAACCAATGGAAGGCTTGCTTCTTAGCCTCCAGCCCCGTGCTCCAGCCAGCCTATTGATGCCCTGTGCAGGTTTTGCCTTTCAATCTTTTGACATTGAGCTGCTCTCCATTGCCCTTAAGAAGTTCAAAATTGTTCTTTGATCTGCGATGCAGATGCCTAATTGCATTGCCGCGCTCAGACTTTTCAACTTAGCCGTGCAAAATCATAAAATGCTTGATAAGAGGTGACATTTTAATCATGCTTTACGGGTCCTGCTCAAAATAGTTAGGAGTCGCCATCCTTTCTTTTCTTTTCTTTTCTTTTTTGCATTTTAAGTTGAAGAATGCCTGGTTTCCAATTACAGAGGCTGTGTGAGGAGGGAGGGTCTCCTACCGCTATGCGAGATGAACAGAAGACATCCTTTTCATTATTGTTGTATCATTTCCCGGTATTAAAATCTGACATCTATTATAAGCCAAGCTCCTGTATTAACCAGATTTTATAAACAACATTCTGATGCAGAGGATGCTGTGTTCCTGGATGACGAGCGGGAACGACAAGAGTACGTCCTGAATGACCTTGGAATGATTTTCTATGGGGACCCTGACAATATAAGAACCAGGAGCTGGAATTATGGTCAGGTGAGTCCTTCCAAATGCAGCAGCCTTGAAGTTCTGTCCCAACTCTAAGATCATCTGCATTGGTAAATGAACACGATCACTGAACATGCAGAACTGACTTCTGGGCTAGTCTAATGCTTATAAACGGAAGTATTATGTAGCCTTGCGGGAACAGTGCCCGAAGACTGAGAGAGCAGATATATTAGCACAGTTTCTAAGATCGCGGTGTTTGGTCCTTTTAAATTTGACAGGGTTATTGAAGAATAAGGGTTTGCAAGTTCTGACCCTGCATCTCAGCCCTAGACTCCAGTGAGTTTGGGCCTGTTTACACAATGGCTGATTCTGCATTGGCTTTTCCCTCTGCTGTTTTACAAAAACCACGTTGGAAGAGAAATTCCCCTCTGCATCGCATGCTGGTTTCACTTCCTTTGATTATCGGGTTTTATGGTAGCTTCCACACTCCATGTCACTTCTGAGTTCTTTGATCTTCAGATTTTATGGTATCTTTTGCATAGATTTATGGCCATTTTCTGGCCATTCAGGGGTGACTTTGCAGTCAGTACGGTGTTGCCCTGAGGTATCTGAATGTGGTTTTGAGCTGCACTTTTTCTTCCCAGTTGAGAAAATGTGGAGCGAATGCTAAATGCAGAATCGCCCATAGAGGAAAGTGGGCCAGGGCAAAATCTGAGTAAGGGCTATTTTGGCCAACAGCTACAAAGAAACACCTAGAGTCCAGTCCAATAGCGCCTTAGAAACCAACAAGATTTTTTGGGGTATGAGCTTTCGAGATCCAAAGCTCCCTCCATCAGATACAACCAGGAATGGAGATTTCTGGAAACCTTACATCCCCCAGAAAGTTGTTGGTTTTTGAAGTGCTACTAGACTGGAATCTACTGTAGACCAACACAGCCACCTTCTGAAACTAGCTACAAAATAAAGAATCTTGCATCAGATGAAGTAATGTCAGTCAACTCTTGCCTATAAAAACTTGTGCCATAGTACATTTGTTCATCTTTAACATACTACAGGACTCTATTGCCAACTAACATGGCCATTTCCCCTAGATTTAGAGCTCAGTGATGGATTTATATCTCAGTGGTAAAAGCACCATTTTCTAAAGATCCATTTCTGGCGAGCTATTCTTGTTCTGGGGTTCTTGACAGAAGCACACCGATGAGATCTGTGGACCAGTCTCTAGAATAAATGCTCAGTTTTTCGAAGTGATATTGTTTCAGGAAGCAGCTCCTTGGGGAAGGTGTTGACCTCCACTGTGAACTCAGGTTTGCACTATAGGGTTATGATCTATTATTTAGTAATGAGCTTCTGTTCTGTTCTGTTCCAAAAAGTGGGGGACAAAAAGGTAATGCAATTATAGGTGTAGAGCCAAAGGAAAAAAATGACGATAAATGTACAGTGTTCAGTCTGGGTGTGATTGCATTGGATAGTTCAACATCATGGCCCTATGTTAAGCAATCAGTGACACGATCAACTTATTGATGCTGTTTTGACCAAGTAAGTATTTTCAAACAAACAGAGTCAAAGTTGAGTGCATAAGGAGAAAGTTTCACAGATATTTGTTCCAGCTTGCAACAGAAATATAATTTTGTCATTTGTTTACCACCGATTAGAGAGACTCATAATTGAATTCATGTGCTTCTGCCACCATCAGAGCAATTGTTTTCTGAGAGACAGTGTCATTTTTTGGTTGCTATGCAATTTCTTCTGAGCAAATTGGACTGTATCACAGGGCAGGCTCTTTGATAATGAATTTGGCTCTGTTTAGGCCTCTGTTCTGCCCCCTATTTATTCCTGTCCTTGTTGTCATAGGATCCCAGCATTCAGAGTCCTTTATTAGAGTTCATTTTCAAAGGAGGCAGTTTCAGGTCACTACTTGCTGATGTGGGTCTCTCTGCATGATAAGCTAAGCTCTAGTCCAGCACTAACCAAGAAACAGTGCAACTTGTAACCAAGCTAACTTTGAATTACATAATATATTTAGATTGTGTGACAGATGAGAGGATTTAGAATAAGATTTCACTTAAGCCAGGGCTTGCCACAGGTCTGAACCCCTCAATACATCTTTATAATGTTAGAGTACAGAACTGAACCATGTGACTTCTATCGAACATCTGAGATGAAGAACCACCCTTCTGGAGACTACCATTTGGATTCAAAATGGCTGCTTTTATATTATGTGCAGCTAGGATTCCAGGCCTGGCTTGGCAGAAAAACTTTATGGTTCAGCCATAGAGTTTTGGGCAGTTGCTAGAACGTCACCCTGCACAGTGATGCCGTTTTCAGGTTGCACCAGCAGTGATGTCATCATGCCAGGAATGCTGATCACACACCCGATCACACCCGGGTATTTTATCCCAACATGCAACTTAGCAGTGGGAGCTGGGGGGCAGAAGATCCCCTGTCTCCAGTGTTAGCTGAATTGCTTTATTTACAGCAATTGGCAATTTATAAATGGGTCCTTGCCAACTATACCAAGGTCCTGTTCCCACCAAGGGTTACCAGAGAAGGATAACGAGGCTGTTGTTGTTAAAATAAATGTCTTTTACTTAAAGAATAAATCTCATACAAACTATACTAATGCTCTCACACATTCAATCAAGTTCCTTAGAATTACAGTATTAAAATAAGCACAGTTGCATTAGCAGGTGGGAGTGATGATGGGCAATATATATCTATCTTGCAGTTTGATTGTTCCAATGAAGAATGGATGGGAAGAAATGGAAACTAAAGGGAATTGATACACGACCAGAACCAGCCAGGACGTGTGGGTCTCTTGACTGCAGATCAAGAGATCAAAGTAGAGGCAAGGGTTTAGGGATAGCAAGTGGGACTTAAGAGGAGTAAAAAGCAGACAGGGGTTGTTGCGGGGGTTGCTAGCTAGGAAGGGCCAGGTGAATGATCCTTTCCTTTTATAGGGGGTTCAAGAGATGGGTTGTGGCTGTGCCAACCTCTTGACCCACCTACCTGTTAGTCCGTCCCAAAAACAATCCTATTGGTTGCCTATAGGAGTGGGAGGTTACCTATAAGGAGTGGCCAATATTGTAATCTAAAACCTTACTCAAAGGAGGGCACCTGGGAAAACCTTGGCGTCAGGATGCTCCATTGTAGTGTTGATGAAGCTGGCCATTCTCATTGTAAACCAAATGTCCATTTGGCAGGAAATACCAATGCAAGAACAAAGCAGTGGTGTGTCGTATGTGACCACAAATAATTCTGCAATGGG